CCCCGCCGGGTCCCTCCCCTAATCCCCGCGCCCGGTATTGCAGGCGGCAGGTGGCAGGTGCGTGGTCCGAGGAGCACTCGCTGAGTACGTGACGTGGGCGACTCCACGCGCCGCCACTCGAGGCGTGTTTATCTCGCGCCAGGGCCGTGGACTGCGTGGACCAGGGACAAAAGGAATCAAAACACTGCGTTACACCTCTAGGCCGCACCCCTACGACTGATGTGGTGAAATAATCATTCAACATTAATTTCAGGGTGGCGAAGCGCGTTGGTCCGTCTCGCGATCCTAATAATTCCGTCCGAAGGGAGGTTGGGGAGGGGGCAAGGTGGTACCATCTTGTGCAAACCCGACATGAAAGCAAAAGCACTCTGCGAAGGGGTGCGTTAGGGTTTGGGCTTTGGGGATGGGGTACTTTATTAAATCTGCGCGTACGGCGGCTATTTACGGCTATGTTTATTTCTGATTATGAAACGTTGCAGGGTCGTCAGAGTGCAATACACTGAGTTTTCTACGACGAGAGGTGTTGTGCAGTGAATTTGCCTACTTTGCAGGCGGTTGGGGCGGACGGATGACATACCCCCCTTTGATCCTAATGAAACTGTAACTTTTTGATCTTAGCTTGGCCTTTGAAAGATTTTCCCACGAGTTATCGTCGTTGTTTTCCTCTTCTCCTTTCTTCTCCAATGATTTCTTACATTGCTCACACTGTGACTTCCTTCCGCGCAGCGGACGGCCTCAACCCTTACCCTGCGCCATAAATATTCTGCTTCGGTTGCTGCATCTGGCTAGTCTGCGCCATCTTCGCCGCGAAGGGGGGCTGAGTTGAAGAAGAAGAAGACGCGATTACAGCGACTGAGTAACGCCGGAGGTGGGATGAGCTGCGCTGCGCGGGCGCGGTCCTCGAAGACTCGTCTGCCGAGCGCCTAGCTGAGCAGTTTATACCGGAGCGCCGATTTGCGGCTGAGGGATAGAGGCAGGGCGCCTGATAACGAACGCGGCGACTCACTATTCAGGGGAACGTCGCCTCCCCCGCCCGCCTGCAAGAAATATACGAGAATATCAACGACTGTGACGTCATTGCCGATAAGCAAACGGTCATTAACTCATTGAGGAGTTTAAGAAAAGGCTGACAAGATATTTAGCAGAGTGATTGCACCAGGATTAGTGTGTGTGCGTGCCCTTCTGGCGAAAAATAGAACGTCGTATTTCTGTATAAGAGTTTGCAAACGACCAGGTGGTGGCTTTGATGAAGTTTGTTTAGTCAATCATTGTGTGGCTCATGCCCAGGTGCAGTAGGCACTTGCTTACCTTGGCTCTCGGTTTTTCCATCAACAATCTTTGGGTAAAAATAATAATTCTGATATGATAATAAAAGGGTCCCAGTTTTTTAAAGTTACACAAATCAATGAGATTTTCTTGTGCCAATTATTTGACCAGATTTGCTACTTTCAAGATATTATCAAATCTATTAATTAGCTTATGCTTGACGTAGACACATTTATTACCACCCCCAATAAAAAATTAATGTAAACTTAAATGATGGTTGGTGGATGAGACTGGTTCCTCAATCCTGCCAGGTTGCAACTGGTTATGATGATGGCTAGTGATGGATGTTGGGCTACCCAGATGTAGTACAGGCCATGAAGGGTAAGTAACGGAAAAGACGATAAAGGACTGAGGGTTTGTATCACATCCAACATGTAACAACACATGTTTTTATTTAAAACGTTGATATCCTTACAACGGATACTGCTTTTTTTGTACAAATGTAGCAATATACATTACAGCACAGAGTGTAGGTGACTTGATGTGGATTGTAATGAGGTAACATAAATGTCTCTTCAGAAAGTGAAAACTTTTGCTCAAGAAAGAAATGTCCCATGAATTAAAAAAAAAAAAAATAGCTATAATCAGATCAAATAAATGAGGATGTATAATGAGTGGAAGGCATATCTATTAACAGTGAAACACTTTTACTTGGGTCTTTAAAATAACTGTGCCAAAGTTTTGAGAATTACAACAAAAATAACAAATTGCCATGAAACTTACTTCACGTGACAATATTATCTGTACACAATTTTTAATAGATGAGGAAAATAATATTTTATACACCTTTCTTAGTAATTTCATACTCTAACATTAGCTTTTCAATAATCTTTTTTTTACAAAATAGTGGCTCTGAGTGCCAACAACAAATATATTTCCTCTATGATTTATACAAAGCTATTTTAAGAATCACTGGAAAATAGACATAATGAATGAGTCGTTAATCCGGCAAACGGTTCATTCAAACTTTACATTTCTATATAACAGCCTAATCATAAACTTGGGTTTGGCAGTGAACACAATGAAATTTAAGTAAACTTTAGTACCATTAATTAAGAGCATAGAGGCTGTAGTATTATCAGCCATATGACTGGTAGTACAACAGCCACCATAAAGAATCTACACCAACACATTTGCTTTCTATACATAAAATAGCCTTCAAAAGAAAAATTTAACATTAATACAGCCTCTTCAAAATTAAGAACAGCCATAGGTGAATGAAAATATGAATTTAACGTATGATTAAATTGGTAATTCGTTGGAGCTTCTTAGGCAAAACAAGTGATCCATTCCTGGGTCCTTCACAGCGCTCATTTGTACTGGTTCCTTGTGTGCGCAAGGGACAGTGCCCTCAGTACAAAACTCAAACCTAACAATACAAATCTCATTTTTCCAGCTAAGCTACAATCTTGAGCATTGAGAGTAGGAGCAGCAGATTTTAGCACATTGTGCCTCTCATTGGATGCTGCTCACTACTTCACACATCACATCATTTCAAAAATCTACAATAACAACAGCCTCAACACCATGCTCATAAGGCCAATCTGGTCCATCAGGTCAAATTTACTCGAAAAGAGAAACTTCAATGGCAGTAAAGGCATTAGTTCTGAAAAACATATGAGAGGCTGCCTTAAAGAAGTATATCTAAACCATAAAACAAATCAATGTCTGGACCATTCACTTTCACAGCTCATTTTGAGAAGCTCGCCATTGCGCAATGTTTAATAAAATTTCAGAGGTGATTTGATTGAACCAGTGCTTCAATACATGAAGAAAAAAATTATACAGCCAATAATATCAATTGTACTTCAAGTCATTCATGTTGACAAAAATGGTGAGTCTCGGTCTCGGTATCAACACATCAAAGTCAGGTTCTGGTTTTTCGTAATCTGGGAGAAACATTTCGCAATGAATATAGTATGTACAGTGTGGAGGCTGGGCTGGGATTATCACAACGCCCAACCGGCTGGTAACACTTGCATGCACAACATATGCATAAGTTTGATCCCTCCTGCCCTCCTTCCTGTGATGTGTTTACACAACACCTCTATTCTACAGTACATTGTAGATATAAACAAAGTAGGCACAATGCTCTGTTGCTCTACAAAACTATACATCTTTTAGTATTTAATTCCATCACCATGCCCGATTTTGTTCTATAAGAAGTTAACTATAATAACAAAAATAGACAAGTTAGCTCTTTTATATACTTCTCAGATACATTAGTCAAGGAAGATTCCCACACCGGCACACGGCAGCAGCTCTTTTGGGAATGAAACAAACAAAATCAAGCGAAAGAATGGAATGTAGGGAAGAAAAAATAAATAAAATTTCTGGTTGACTGAAATTTTGAGCCTATACAAGAAGCATGAGAAAAGCAAAAAAATGCAGCTACGTACAAAGACAATATCAAAAAATTAAATTAACTAATATGAACAGAAGTGTCCTGTAAATATTGATCTGTAAACAAGCATCAAGCAACCCTAACTTTACAAAATGTGAGGTACACACAGAATACACTGTATGTACAAACCATACATCCAAATGTACATCATTACTGTGCGGGACGGCCGCCGGAATGTGTAGATACAACACAAAATGTGCCAAATCTAAGTAACAATAATAACATGTATAGTGAAGAAGTGAACCATTCTGAGGTAGCAAATTCTACCACACTTTTCCAGTTTTGTACTTTTTTGAAGGCAGCTAATTGTCACAATATTAAGAATTACAGGAAGGTATCCAATTTACATTCATAAAAAAATAAAACAAATATATATATTATTGTGTAACTTAAACCAGTATTTAATCTTCTATCAACAAAAATATTGGTCACTCTTCTTAAATTTCAACATGGTTTTTACAGAGGTATTTCACAAGACATGGACACAACCAACTGACTAACAAAGGTATTAACATTTTCAGCAACAAAAACAAGCCAATAAATAGAATTTTCTGTGTTGTCAAAACTTTACTTAACAAATAGGACTCGATACCAAACTATTTTTAACATATTGCACATAATCCACAGCTTTTCTTAAATAGCATAATAACTTGTTCCTTTGGGAAAGAAAAAAAAAACAACAGAAAACATGCCTTAATAATTTCACAATATTTCACAGTAAGTGCAAGGATAATGCATAGATAATCTTTTTACAAAATAGAATAATGTCCTAATTTACTTATATTATTCACTATGTTAAGCTGTACAGAGGTAACAAACATGTGTGGGCCAGGAGCCGCACTGTGTTAGGTACATTTGCAACATCCGAGAGTTCTCTACAGGGCACTTTATGTGATGTTTACCATTAGACTGCACATGCCATACACCGCAGAATTGAGTAAAAAAAAAAAATATGATCACTAAAGTCACATAAATAATAATCTTTTAAAAGTTATAACTATAACTTGACTGTATTAACATAAAATGGGAACATCCTGAAGTTGACTAAGATGCCCATGACATGTTGCAAGGCTTTTCGAATCTGATGTCCTCATCTTTCCTTGGTGTGGGATTGAGGTGTGTGGCAGGATTTGGAGGGCCCAGCCCTCTCAAGCTCATGCCACTACAACTCTAAAATTAAAAGAAAAAGTACACTTCCAGATACCACAAAAACAAAAATACAACAAATTTTATATATATAAGTTTTAAAATGCAACATTGCATTAAAAGCAGGGATAATTACCATGGCAGTGCACTCTTCTCTCGTGTTGGGCAGGTAATTGGTAACATTAACACTACTTGCGCTTCGCATGTAGCATTTCCATTAGTAGAGTTTGTGTTGGTGCTCCGCCCGAACAATGCTTCTGATATAGGTGGTCCTCTCCTCGGGCTGCCATCTCATGAATGTCTGGTAGGAGCTGTAGTAGTCTGTTGAACTTATCCTGCACACACACATAAAACACAATCAGTGCACTATGTTCATTGATAGTTGTTTTAATTTATGACAGAATTGCATTTTTTAAAAAATTTCTAACATTGATGGGTGATGAGATCATGTACAATTCAATTATTTATTTTTCAGTGCCTCAATAATAGGGATTTATTAAGTCAAAGCTCTTATTTCACCACGATTAAAATGCAATAAGAACAGAACAGCTCCTAGGTGCCAGCATTTTCCCATACATAGCAATCTTTGTAGCAAAGAAGCCAATGTGTTATTTGAACGGTCAATACTCACAGTTTATGCGAATCTTCCCAGGTGTGTTAATTTAAATAAAAATGCACCTTGCACATTCAATAATAATAAAAACTAGATAAGAGAGCTTATTGATTGAAAGAGAAAGGGAAAGACACAGACCCTGTGAAATGAAAACGCCTCCTTTACCTTCCAATTTGAAAACTAAATCAATCGGAAAACACTCTCAACCATTAAAAGCCTAGTTTCACTACTCATTTTACTATATCGACTTAAAACAGCCACACCATGATAAAAATTTTATGGTGTACAAGGATCTAAAGTAAGTGATAGAGAAGAGGAAGAGGAAGTGAAATTTTATGTGAATGGTAGGGAAATATTTAGCTAAGGGAAGATGATGTGCATGGACACTCCCTGGAGAACGATTTCTCCCAAGAGGGAGAGCAGCAACGGCAGGTAAGCAGAACGCAGGGTCTCAGTGCGAGACTGGACACACGTGCGAACCTGCAAACACAGCCAAGCACAACATACCACAGAAGCACAAGCAACGGCTCCCAATCAAATTAGGTTTGTAGCATCTCACAACAGACTGTAAAAGTTCATGATTAAAATACTAAATTCCACAGACAAAATTGAATGCAGTTAATTCAAACTAGCAAAGAAGTTGGACATGTCTCTCATTCAATTTCCACAGAATTCTGAAAATTACAGAATAAACGGAAAATATAGAGAATATTAAAGGTGCACATAAAATTAGTGTACCACTTCCTCCCATTATATTTTACATTAATAAAAAACCAATATTTTTACTTTAAGGGTACTTGTCTGGAACGAGTTACATGTTCAACTCAAGATGCTCTTTCTGATATCATTAAAATGAAATAACTCAAAATTCATTTTATGTTGCTATCTAATCATATTCTACTGTTTTCTGAAGATAAAAGCTGTTAGTAACTGGGACAGTAATTTTTCCATGCTTTGTGACTTAAAGTTCTTTACAAGGATTTTTACTTATGAAAAATATTGTATGGATAGAACTAAAATAATGAATTTAAAAGGATCTAGATTTTGTTGCAAAAATTGCAGGCTGAAAAGCATAATTCAAATAAAGATTATGTTTCATCTAATTTTTGCAGAAAGATTGACGATGAGGGTGAATGAAAAGAGATGAATGGAAATGAATAAGGAATACACTAATGTAGAAATGGAGATCAAGGAGGGAACTACAATCGTCAGCTAAATATTCTAGTCATAGGTATGTGTAAAATATATGGCGCAAGTGATGACCTGTTCAATTGTACAATGTAACCATATACTATTCCTAATAAAATCTGAAAATCTTATTAAAACAGCAAGCACGGCAACTCACATTATACATTTAAAATGTGGTTACAGAAACTAGAACAACTAATTAAGACAAAATATGAGATATACAGACCTGAAGTTGTGGATAATTCGTCATAGTGTAGTCCAGGAGTGCTGTTTTCACCTGGGTCTGGCCCTCCTGTACGTGCTTTCGATTCATTATCCCTCTGACATCTGTTATGACAATGATCAAGAATATAAATCACAGCGAACCAATAAAGAAAAAAGGCTGTCCCAATACAAATACTTAAAATAGTTGTGAAATTTCATAGAAATAGAAGTGAGTTAAAAAAAATGCATATAGAAAGAAAATAAGGATGCACTGTCATGTTAAGCCCACAGGCGCCATGTCAGGTTCCGACGCAAGTACCAGGGTTGAGCAGAAGCAGAAACTTCAAACAGATGTAATCCGAGATATCGAATTTGAGGAGAGCGAATTGGTGCGCCAATGCAGCGAACTGATCCGCCAAAGATGCCACTCCCAGAAGGCCTAGACAAAGCAGATCGAACTTCTGTCCATTGGGAAGCGTTGTCTCATCTGGGAGTTGGTTATGGAGCCGTTGGTGGAGATGATCTAGCACCAGCATGTCTGACCATGAGTACTGGAGTAGTTTCATCTGGTCATCAACCTTCAAAAGAAAAGACAAAAATATAAAAGCCCAGTCTTAACAGAATTTATCAATAAATAAATAAATACTAAGAGACATTAATAAAGAAGCTACACACAGAATATTTAAGATATAATTTTTGCTCAATTTAACAGGTAAGTAAATTGTCCCTAAAACATTGCCAAGTAATTGTTGGCACATAACCAATGGGTGAGACGCTCTAATTACGTAACTTTTCTACTCAAACCTACAAATGATGCGGCCTGATTATTATTTTTTTACTGTTAACTCTTTACCCTCTTACAAGTAAAACCACTACAACCATTTCCAAACCACCCAATCAAAGTGACGCTCTTAGTAGAATAGAAAGAAGCTGACGACCAAATAACTAGCTGAGTGCATGTGGGTGAGTTGATAGCTGAAGCTTGAGAGAAGACCACCTAACTCAAAGAAAGGGGAAAGGGGGGTGGCTCAGTCAGTGCAGGTCAGCAGCAGGACACAGCGGCAGGGACTGGCTAGAACAGCTCCGCCCGTAGGCTGGTCGCTGCGCTGCGCAACGCTACGCAACGCCACGCAACGCCGAGCTTGGCCCTGACCTACTTTCGACTTGGATGGTGCGTGGTGCTGGTAGTGCCCACAGCCCAGCCAGCCAGTCTGGCAAGCGGGCCATAGGCGCCCTAGGCAAGCTATGGGCACGAGCCCGGCTCGGTCCTGCCAGCAGGTCCTGCCAGCAGGCCCCGCCACGCCCCGCCACGCCCCGCCACGCCCCGCCACGCCCTGCCCCCGCCCTCTGCACTCGGATCCATCCGCAGAACAGTCCGTCCCGCCCGGTCCCGCCACGCCCCCCGCAGCACTTTCGCTTTCATTGGGGACCTCCCCCCCATCCCTCCTCCCCCAAAGGGGGTGGTGGACGGAACAGCTCCGTGCCGCTGCCGGGGCCGCGCCCAGAGGGAGGGCCCCCACCCCCAGCACGGGCTGGCCGTGGCGACCTTGGCGACCATCCCTGTGCCTGCCTCTACGCCACCCCACTGTTCCGCCCCTGGCCGGCGCCCCCCTCCCCCTCCCGCAAGGTCGAGCGAGCCGAGGAGGGGGTGGGCGGGCGGGAGCGAAAGCGAAAG